AATCTTAGTAAACCTAAAATGCTATTTTGGGCTGAACAAAATCAGAGTGGGATCTGTCTCTCTAATGATACAAAGCATGTTAGCAGTATGTCAGAAGTAACTAATTCTAAATAATTCAGACATTAGCAAGAAGTAGCTGAAGAAATAATGTCTAATTTAATCATTGGTGAGACCTACTGTGTGATAATTGCATTGCATCTCACTTTACGTGGACCATTGTGGAAGACAAATATCCTTCTAAGCATGGTCCTCTATGGTGCAAAATGCTTCAGCTCCTATTGAAGTTAATATGAAAGTGTTCAGAAGCATGTGGAAAGCTCACAGGATCAAGCGGGTCTGGGCCCCGGATGCCATTATTAAAAACCATTCATCATGGGGGTTCTGGGTCTCCTAAAGAAATTGTTAGGCACAAATAACTCAAGGAAATCTCTTTGCTTTATCAAAGAGCGCACGCTGGTAATCTGCCCTTTGTGGAAGCAAAGGCTGTTTAATACACTCCAGAGGCACAAATGGGTCCAAGGAAGAGCAGATCCTAATAAAATTACAGAATTAAACCAAGCAATCAAAAAAATTTATAATTTAAAAAAAAACCCACAAAGTTCAATTATTTTGTCACAGTAGAACACTATAATCTATATGTGAATAACAGACTCGGTATTAATTCTTTGCTTTTTTTTTTTTTAAATTTTCTTCAATGGTAAAAAGCAACATAATAGAGATGAAGATACACATTTGGCTATGCTAAGTGAATGTTGACCATGTCTAAAGCATGCCCCTTTTGAGGTGACAAAAACAGTCTGTTTCCATAGTATTTGCAATGCACAACAGGGAAATAAAAATGAAAGTAAGATTTCTAGAAGGGGGGGGAGGGGGAAATCCATATCTCCGTTTGTAGTATAGGTGAAGATTTAATTAATCTTCCTCATCACAATCGAATCTTATTGTAGATTAAGGATCGTAAGGGTTGTTCTTTTATCACCTGGGTCAAATGACAATATTTCCCAACTGATACTGTCTCGACTTTTGAAAGACTTGCTTGTTCTTGTACAACAGCTCAGTTTCCTCACATTAAGGAAGTCAGAACGGGCTATAGCTACTGGCTTCAGTGGAATGCTAACTTAACCTTGGAGGATCGGAGCTGCTGCCGGTTAATAGCAGTGATTCCTTGGCTAATGGAACAGGTACAGCTAGTAAAGGTAATTCACTGATAAGATGAACATCTTAGCACTGCCTTTTCTGAACTTTGCAACCTCCTTTGAATCTCTTTGTGATCTGTAATTTGAGTTGCACTCTTCCAGAGAAGAATGATTTTTAAGCCTGTAACCAGTGATCCATTTACGTCACGTTAAGGCTCTCACTAAGGATGGTAGGAAACCTTGGGGCAGTCAAAGCTGTCAGCTGCAGACAGATGTCTTCCTAGTTATAGATCTATTTATTGACTGAGTTTCCAGAAAGTGTAGCTTGTGCTTGGTATTTCAGGAACCCATTTGTTTTGGGAATATAGAGAAAGAATCAAGCCTCCTTCCAATACACAATTCCTATTTAAATGGCCACTTAAAACAAACAAACCATGTTCAGTTCCCTTTAGTTTTTGTCAATCTATATTGAAAGACATTTTCTACTAAAATCTGTAGTTTGTTCTCAGCTGTTTGCTTATTTCAAATGTTAATATATTTATAAAAAGAAAAATTTCAGACTGTTCTATGATCAAAAGTACTTTAAGCTCCACTTACAACTTCTATGGTTACTGGAATAGCATGAGAAGATATTTAAGGAATCTTTTAAACTTTTCTGTTTGCATATACAGTAGTCTTTCTCCAGTGGCAACTAGCTGTATGTATCCTGCACAGGAGACGTAAAATACAAACTGCAAATGCAGTCAGTATGCTGTAGGAGTCAAGTTTTCAGCTAAGGTATACAGTAAAAATATGTAGCAGCACTGGAAGGGACATATATATATTTTTATTAGGGACATTCCTATGTTTAATTTGCTGGAGAGAACCGAAGTTTTTATTATAGATTCTTGAAAAAGCATTTATACCCCATTGGAAACTAGCTCCCGTGCTAGACCCTAGTAGACTTCTTAAATTTAAATGCAACAAGCAGAGAACTGGGACCAAAAAGAGTCTTTGTCTGATCGACGTTGAAATCGTGACCCTCTATAAAACACAGTTGTGAAGTGGCAGCACAGCCTTAGCATAAGTGCGTGTATATATGATGACATTGCTAGCACTAGACATCAGTCTTCAGTAAAAGTGGTAGTATTATTTTTTTTAACAATGATCAAATTTAATTATAGGGAGACTTAACATTTTCTCTCTATGGATATGTTTTGCACTACTAACTATATTCATGAAGACCGCACGCTCCGTCCCGTTGTCCTCACTTACAGTAGCGTTCTGAAGTTCCTACAACTGTGGAAGTACCTGGGCTTTCATCAGGACATGAAGCACTACCTGTAGTGCTTTAGTGTAAAATACGCCATTTGCCCAAAACCAGGGTTAAAACCTGAAGTGAGGTCTGTCTAAACACAGCTCAAATCAGTCAATTTTTCAATGCCTTGGTATTAGTACTACTTCTGAGTCTTCAGTGCCTGAAGTATCTGACCTTTGGGAATAGAAGTATACAGAACGCTTTATGCTCAACGCTGACCCCACATGGGACAGGAATGTATGAAGCAATTGTAGTTTTAGTAAATTATTTGAATGTTGTGTCAAAAAGTAGAATTTTATTTTACAGAGCTGCAAGCATTTATTTCTTATCCATATTTATGAAGATGTGTATGTAACCTTGGACACATTGCCGTAGAAAAATTTTAAATAACAAAACGCTAGTGTTTCTTCAAAGATCATTTTGTTATTAGTATCTTTACTCTTCAACATGTTATGCTACTCTTACTCTTCAACATGTTATGCTACTAACGTTTTTGTTAGCTCCTGAAGAAATTGATTTGTCATTCTTTTGTATGAATTTAAGTTCATAGTATATGTTTTGTTTTTCTCTTGAGGAAAATATGTTTTATGACATGGGAATTACACTATACACTTATTCTATCATGATTTAAATGCATTACTATAGTCAAAAAAATTTTAGTGTGCAAAGCCTAAATGAAAGCGGATACAAAAGTGCATGAAGTAACTGTGCTAAGAAAATGTTCTTCATATTTGGTGTAATAGCAATAAAAACTGTTCATAATATTCTTGACCAGCAAAATTTTAAAATAAATATAACTGCAAGAACTTAAACTTGCAAAATTCTTCAATAAATAATTACTACTTGCCATGTAAAGCTTACAGGTGAGCTTTCATCTTGGAGATCCAGTCCCTCTGTCCCCATTAACGTTAATGAGTGTTATGCTGTTAAGTCCCTGTACGCTATACTGAAATCCTGCCCCTTAGACTGCTCCGGATCACTGAAAAATTGCTCTGGTTGGCGGATGCTACGTTTTAGGAACTTTCAGGCTACCCAGGTGTTTGCCCCTCCATTTTCAGTGTGCTGCATGGTGATTTACTTGGGAGACTGGGGTTACTGTTGTGGCTGCCTCTCTCCCGGTTCAGAACGGGCCCTTCCAGATGGTCTCTGAAATCTTTCGTTGTTCCGTAGCTTGTGTGGTTTGAGTATAGCAGCTTGACAAACATAACTCTAAAGCATGTGGCACTTTGGACTGAAGCGTTGCAATTCTTCCTGGTATTTTTCATGTGTAGGGTGATATAACATATAACTTAACAATGTGAGAGACATGCTTCTGAAGCTCTTGTGTTCTGAGGCTCGCCGCACCAGGCAGCGAACAGTGAGTTTGGATCCCAAGAGCGACTTGTAGCTGAGCACGCTTGGATCCCTCACCGAACTGAACCAAATGCTCCCTGGACACCGCTGAAAAAACAGAGACTTAGGATGCCTACATAGCATCATGTTGGTACGCTCCCTATTTCATGTTAGGGTCCTAATCCTGCAGCTGCCCATACAGTATACAGCTAATTCACACCCTCGGGCGCCTCTGGGGTAACGCAGTAATTTCCTAGCCAGGGATGGTCTAAGTTAGTACATACTAGAGCTGGCTCCTTCTCTGTGTCCCCAACCGAAGTGTCGCAGCAGTCCTTGCAGCTTGTTAAATCCCTCACGCAAACCTCGCCGCGCTTTGCGTGCGTCGCGCTACGCAAGGGTGTGCGTGGTGAGCTGCAATTAGCTCTGGCCTTCGCATGCGCCTTGGAGGAGCCACGGCCTGTGCGCGGGGGCAGAGCATCTCGCCAGCCTCTGCCAGGACCCTGCTCCTCCCCATGGCTTGCTTCACGGGCGGCAAGATGGAGAGAGCGAAGTGAGCAGTGTTGGTTGAGACTGAAGAAACTGAAAACTGCCCGTGAGCACGTGGTGGGCAGGAGCAAGATCACAGCTTTAGCCCCTGCTAGTTTCCTTATCTTTGAGCTGTGTGAAATTTATGTGGAAGGCAAGAGGTTGAGAGAGGTGGCCTCTGCTTTTGGGAGAAGCCCTGGAGGAGCTGACGAGCCCGGAGCAGGCTTGTAGCTCGGCCGAGGAGCCTGGTGCAGTGCTGCGGCCTGGGCTCTGGAGCCGGGGCAGAGGGCCGTGGCCTG